CTAGAAGAAAAAGAGCAAAAGAAAAAAAAAAGAGGGCAATAATTTGCCCAAGATCATGTGCATTATTGAGTGGCAAAGTCAGGAATTAAATCATGGCAGTTTGGCTCCAGTACATGTGCTTGAACAAACATGTGTAGAGTGTTTACACCATTTTGTTTTAAATATAATTATGCATCACAGAAACACAGCTCTGCATGGAAAAAAAGGTGTGTGTGTGTGTGTGCACATACACGTGTAGTTATTGCCATTACAGATGTCTTCTCTGGATGGTAAGATGGAATGATTTTTTTTCTTATTATTATATGAATTTATAATTTGTAATTATAATGGTTGTATACTGTTTATGTAATAAAATAAATACGAAATATTATTTCAAAAATAAAATTAAATGGTAGCAATTCAAGTTGATTTATTTAATGACTAAATGAAGACAAGGGAGGGGTACCTGGGTGGCTCAGTGGGTTAAGCATCAGACTCTTGGTTTCGGCTCAGGTCATGATATCAAGGTTATGAGATTGAGCCCTGTGTCGGGCTCCACACTAGGTATGAAGCCTGCTTAAGATTCTCCTTCTCCCTCTGCCCAACCCCACTCACACACACACAAGCTACCTCTCTCTCAAAAATACATAAAAAGTTTTAAAAAGACTAACCTTAAGAAAATAAAGACATAGGATTCTATTCTCCTATTTTAATAATAATAATAATAATAATAATAGCTGTTTAATAATAAAATATGGGCAGCCTAGATGGCTCAGTGGTTTAGCGCCTGCCTTTGGCCCAGGACGTGATCCTGGAGACCCAGGATCGAATCCCACATCAGGCTCCCTGAATGGAGCATGCTTCTCCCTCTGCCTGTGTCTCTGCCTCTCTCTCTCTCTCTGTCATGAATAAATAAATAAAATCTTTAAATAATAATAATAATAATATATAAAAATAGCTGTTTGGGGGAGTTTTTCAGGATTAACACTGCCAAGTCCTGTATCTGCACCATCTCATTTAGTCCACACAATTTTTTTTTACATAGGTGTTGTTATTTATCACCCTTCCTTTACAAATGATGAAAATGAGACTCAGAGGGTTTATCCCAGGTCCCGTAACTATAAGTGGCAAAACTAACATCTGAAGCCAATCTCCAGAGCTTCAACTAGTAACTGCTCCAGCTGCAGTCTCTCCTGTGAGACAGGAGTGCTGGCTGGGAAGAGAAGGTACTTCCGTTCCAGGCATTTCCATGCTCTGGATTCGGAGACTGAGACATGTAGAGGAATTGGTGTCAGTCTCAATTCAAAGCTAGACAGTTGGAGTCTTTCTCTCAACTCATGTCTTAAGTAGAAAAAAATGAAAAGCCATTTTAAAGGTCTCTTGATTCAGGAAGAGGATTCTCACTAATCTTGAGTATTTTGTGAACATAAAACACTGAGATAGCCAAAATACTTGTCATTGTGTTATGATAAATTTTGTTTGATTTTCATAAAATAAAATACAGAACCTGAGGTTTTAAAAAATATTTCCACAATCCAGGGGCACCTGCATGGCTCAGTGGTTGAATGTCTGCCTTCGGCTGAGGTTGTGACCCCGGGGTCCCAGGATTGAGTTCCGCATCGGCTCCCTGAAGGAGCCTGCTTCTCCCTCTGCCTATGTCTCTGCCTCTCTCTGTGTGTTTCTCATGAATAAATAAATAAAATCTTTAAAAATTTTTCCATAATTTAAATTGTTCTGAATTCCAATTACAAATGGGAAACAGAATTTAATGTATGTTTTGGCTAAGATCCTATATTTGAAGCATTATCTGAATCACCTAAGCATCCAATAAGAGAATACTATGATTCTAAATAACCAAAAGGATGAGTTTAAGAGGAGCCAGTTTTTTATTATTATCCCAGAAAAAATAATTATGGAAGTTTAGATATGTAACTGCATATGGATTTTGAATAAATTATCATGAGACATTAATTTTGAAATTTAAGAAATGACTCATAAGACCTGTTCATCTAACTTTTGACAATATGTATAAAAGCATGGATGATTTTCAATCAACCTGATGTTAACAGATTCTTGGATTCCACAGATAATATGCTTCCAGAACGTTGGTGGAGGGGTTCTCTGAGGTTGTAGTGGCAATGGCGTATATGATTACCGAGCGATTATTAACATATTCTGATATTTTGTTTCACTTGTAGTGATGTTTAACTAAATAAATATCTCCTGAAGCTAATTGTTAAGAGGTGACAAAAATCACCGCCTTGCTCACCACCTAGTTCTTCAGACAGGATGCAAATGCAGCTTAAGACAATTCTTTCCAAGTGAGAGTTTTGTGAACTACTGAAGACATTTCCTCCTAAGAGCAATTTAAAATATTTCAAAGCTTGCTTATTAAGAGGGAATCTCACTTCTTACAGAGGCTTAATTTCATCAAACTCTACATTTCATGTTTTTATCCCCCAGTGGATTACTTAGACTGGTTTACTTCCCAGTACACAGGGAGAATTGTTCATCCGCACTTCTGTAGTATTGGACAGCACTGTGATACATTTCAAGCCCTAACCACATGTGCATGTTAAAAATAATTATATACTGCCTATCACCCCATAATAGCACTGTCTAGTGGACCCATTAAATTGTTCCTAGGTCTTCCTGTGGCACAGAATCTATCAAGCTCTTTGCTTCCTGCTGGAAGGGTCTGAAAAGCCAAGAGACATTTTCCCTTTTTTTCCTCTCCCCGCTCTCAATCATCCTTCCTACATTTAGCTGAGTTCCTAATTCCTTTTGCTTCTTTAGGAGAAAAAAGCGAAACGGCTGTCACAGGCAAAGGCGGTCTTGCTTGCCCTTTCATCTCCAGGCAGATGAATCAATAAAATATGAAGACAAAAGTGCTCCATCTTCTGGCCGAGGATGAATGTTCACCAGCAAATATTCCCAGTTGTAAAAGGAAGCATTTCATCTCAGGGGCCAGATCCTGGAGACAATTATTGATGAATCCTCCAATACCATCAAGAATAAAACAGCCTTCTCCCCGTCTCAGACTTAAAAGAGTTTTCTTCCAATCTTGTTCTCTTTTGTCCTTCATTCATATCTACCAACCCAAGCCAGCTATCAGTGTGGTAGGCTTGGCATAGGACAAATGTGCCCCTCCTTGTCCCTTCGTTCCCAGCACAGATTACTTAACCTTGGGAATCCCCAGTCCCCTCATCTGCACAGGAGGTTTCTACCTTCTTTGTAATTGTGAGGACTAAATAAAATAAGATTTGTAACATACTGAACCCCACATCTTGCATAGAGGAGCACTCAATACATGTGAGTCGCTCTGATTATAATTATTACTGCGACATTTTTTTTCTTTCACTGTCTCCCTTCAATTCAATACAAATTTTTCAACCTTCCTAGGGCCAAGATGCCAAGTGCAGTGGTAGGATTTTTTTTCATTTGTTTTTATTTAAGTTCGATTTGCCAACATATAGTATAACACCCAGTGCTCACAGTAGGATATTTTTTAATGGAGCCTCTGCCTTCAACAAAGTAATAGTCTGCCTGTAGTCACAAAGAAGACCTCAAATGACTTTGATACAAGTGGAGGTATGGTACATGGCAAAAAGGGCTACCAAATGTTCCAAGACTGTGCTCTCCAACTGGACTGTGTGCACCAATCACACGTGGATCCTGTTAGCTGGTTTTGATTCAGTAAGTCTAGGGTAGGGCCTGAGTTTCTGTATTTCTTTTATCTCTTTCTTCCTTTCTTGCTTTCTTTCTTTCTTTTTGAGAGAGAGAGAGCCCGGGCACACATGAGTGGGGGAAGGGCAGAGGTAGAGAGACAGAATCTCAAGCAGACTCCATGCCCAGTGCAGAACCCAGTGCAGAGCTCAATCTCACAACGGGATCATGGATCTCACAATGGGATCATGACCTGAGCTGAAATCAAGAGTCGGACTCTTAACCAACTGAGCTACCCAGGCACCCCAGATTTTGCATTTCTAATAAGCACACAGGTGGTGCTGTTGCTGCTGCTGGTCTGAGGTCTACTCTTTAAGCAACAAAGTTCTGGGATACTGTGTATGATATAAACAGGGTTTGTATTTAGCTCATGTACATTAGCATAGCTGTACTGGTTTCTTAAAATGCTGGATACCCTCTGATAGGCCATGATCCGTGACAATCCTATTGTTAAGTCACTCATTGACTGTCACCCTGGATACAAATACTACAGTACGCTGGTGGACAGCACAGATGTCACATTTGGTTTTAAGGCAGCATACATGGTATTTAAGGACAGCCTTGAAAGATTAGCCAGATTTTATTTATTTCTACTTGCTTGCATAATATACTCACTTTCCCCTTCCCAAACACCATAGTCACTGTTCATTTGGAATGTGAAGTACCTTCTTATAATTTCCTTTAAAAGAGTGTTCCTCTGAACCATTAGACGTCTTTGGAACAGTAATGTCCCAGTGGTTTTTCCCATGTTCTTATGACTTCATTGTAGCTGTTTCTGGCTTTGAAATGAAATTAAACAATAAAAATGTACAGAGGCATCCAATATGTTTGAGATAAAATCAGGGTCTCTCCCAAGCTGAGGCCAGTCGGTTAGTGTGTTCTGGTGGCCCAATACCCACTCTTGACTTGGATACCAATTTTTAATTGGGGGCTTTCACATATAAATCTAGATGCCCAGCTTGGAATATTGGGAAACGCAGCTGCCCAGAGACCAAATTCACACTCAGACTTCTTCAAAGTCTCCATACACCAGGCAAATCTCATTGTCTTTCACACCATGCACTTCACTCTCTCCTACAACTCAGCCTATGTAGGTATTTGAGTTTATGATTCCATCTTCCCAAAGTCCAGGAGTCATTTTGATTTAGAAAAAAAAAAAAATATATATATATATATATATATATATATATATCATGTGTCACTAATGATATACAACCACTCACACATGGTGATTTTCAGAATACAAGGACAACTAGCTTTTTTCTGGGAAAATAAATCTTAATATAATAATCAGATCAACTTTAAAGCATTAGCTTTATTCGTTCACAGTCTTCATCTTTAATCCATGATTTCAGTATTTGGTTCCAATAGTTTCTTTCTTTCCTTCCCTCTTGTGGATGTGAAAGGGAATCTGAGTAAGGAGAAAAAGGGTAAACCAAGGAATCAATACCCCATTTCATGAGCAAAACATTTCTAAAGGTTATGCTAGCAACTTTGTGAGCCACTAGAGAATTCACATAAAGTAAAGAAACCAGAAAAAAAGTGTGAGACTTTCCCTAGCCTGGGTTCTCTACTCTCAGAATTTTATTACCCACTGGATAAAACCTGCATAAATCACTTTGGTTTCTTATGTCTCATTTGCGCCTTGTGAGAGCTCACAAAATAGAGAGAGGGAGAAAAAAAGACTAAAGAAAATATTTTTGAGTCATTGAAAAGCATTTCAGATTGTCAATAATAGATATAGATTTAAATTAAGGCCCTATTTACCCACTTAAAATATATTGAGTTTTTTTTTCCCTTCCATATTTAAAGGTAGTCAAAAACTACAAAACTGTATCAATACTAAGAAGACAGAGCTCTCTGATTTCTCTCAGATACAAAAAGTTTTCCAGTGTTCTCAAATTTTCAAAATAGATGACTCTTCTCTAGCAAAAGTGTTGCACAATTTGAAAAAACAGGCTTCCAGGGAAGACAAGCTAAAAAAAAAAAAAAAAAAAAAAAAAAAAAAAAAAAAAAAAAGCAGCTTCTTTTAACATAGCTTCAAAACACACCACTGCCTCACTATCTGACTGGACAGCCGATGCGCTGGAGGAAGCTGGCTCGTTTCAACGTTAGAAGGTAGCATGACCCCTGGGCCAATATCCGGCCCCATTTAAAATCTATAGATTCATGACTTTACTATATGTGGCCTGAGCACAGGAGTTTGGAGTCCACAGCCCTCTGAATGTGTGGGACTCTGCTCAGCTCACTGGCAAGCCCTGTGCCCCTTACCTTATCGAAAGGCCAGACACAGTGAAGGCCACCTCCCAAGGTTGTTGGAAAGATCCAGTCAAGAGATTGGAAGTATCTGTACGATGGAGAAGAGCAATACAAAAGTAAGACATGATGTGATGAGTAAAACGTTTAGCATAGTGCCTGACACGTGTGTCCTCTTGGTTAAAAAAAAAAAAAAAAAGGTCCTCAGATCTGTGGTTCTACACTATCATGAACTTCTTGGTCATGAGCTACAGAGACTATTTACACTGTTGGCCTTCTTTCCATTCACTACTTATCCCAACCCTAATACCCCTGGAAACGGCTGAAATACAGAACAGACTTGGTCTTGCTAGTACTCTTACCGAAAGGTTATCCAAGACAGATGCTTAATTAATGGAGGACAGCATTTAATATTAAATGGCCCATAGGATAACCAGAGTGCTACCTTAAAGGGGTACCATATAGATGCTGAAATGCAAAGTGCTCTTCGAAATCCCAGCCACTGGGGGTTCTTAGGCTCGCAAACCAGGGGAAAAGGAGGGACTCTTTCCTAGAAGAGCATCACCAATGAGTCCTTCTGCTTCAGCAACCCGTCTCTCCCTCTCCCCGACTTGACCCTTCTCAGCACACGTCCTGCTGTATGCCTGCCTCCTTGGCTTTTTCTCACCTTCACCATGGACAGACTTCCAGCCTCAGAAGACTGATTCCTCTCTCCCTTGTCGCTTCCTGCTCTCCAGTCAAATGACAAGGTGATATTTCTCCATTTCTTGACATGACTTAGATCACACGACACCTACATGTATCAGGGGTGTTATGGATAAGTTGTCACTTCCCTCGTCCTGCCAATGTCAGGTGCACTGCACACTGGTCGGGTGCCTATTGTATACGAGGCACTGGTGAATACAAAGCTAAATAACTTTCTGTCTGAGCAGCTTACAATATCTAAGGCATCTGTGTCATTTTCTCATGTATAAAAAGGTGTATCATATTTTTAAAGTATAATTATATTTTGCAGGAGTGCAAAAGGGAGTGCAAAATTGTCTCCTTGCTGGTTTCTCCATCACTTTCTAGCCCTTTACCTCTCTTTATCTTACTTTATTACCTTACCTCCTATATTCCCTGACATGTTACATATCTACCTTTTTGGTTATTTATCAGTAGCTATTTTCAACTCCCAGAATGTAAATCCCGCATGAGGGACTTTTTTCTTTTTCACTGCTATGCCCCAGCCCTTGCAACATGACCTGGCACAGAGAAGGCCCTCAATAAAAATTTGTTGAAAGCAAGTCTTCCAGAAAAAGTGGTCTTTGAGTTGGGCTTTGACCAGTGAGAAGGGCCTCAATAATTGAGAAATGGGGAAAAGAATATTCCAGCAGGAGGCTTCAGCAAAAACAAAGAGGTTTCTAAGTACAATCTAAATAAGGTAATAAAGTGGTTTTAAACAGAGACATGAAAAGTTATAGTGGAATTTAACTATTTAACTAATCTTAAGAAAGAAAACAATGTTTGCAACAGTATTGTGATTTAGACATTTCAGTGACATTCATGGGCCAATCTAAGTAATTTTAGAGCAATCCAGGTGCCGAACGGATAACCTGCAATGTAGAGATATATGTATTACTAATACAGAGAACAGATTGAATCCAGGAAGTAGGAGAGCTAGGGAGGAGAAGGAGAAAGGAAGGAATGAGAAAGGCAGGGGGAAGGAAGAAAACCAGACACTTGCCATGGCCTGCAGAAAGTCCTTTCCTTGTATTTCATGAATTTATTTCCAAGAAACCGTGTTCCATTCCTGCAGACCCTGCCTTCCTGACCCCACACTTGGGGGCTGCTGTCCTGGATTTGGATTCTTGGTGACAGTCCTGCATTAGAGCAAACAGATGGGAGGTTTGAGGGGAGGCGTTTTATCAGGAGGCTTTGACATTCTGCCACAAGTTTCCAGCATCGATAGAAATCTCATTCAATTCCAGAAAAAATCCAATAGCATCACCAACAGGGGTGATTAATGGGTATGAGGAGGAACAACATTGTATCCTATTTCCGCACACCTCCTTCTCCTTGTGGCAACCTAATGGTGTTTTGTTAAGGAACAAGGTTTACAGCTTTCCAAATAGTATTTATCTGAAAGGTTTATATCCAGATCATTCCTCTGGAAGCTCGTGGCCTTGCTGGGAATCTTTGTCTGCCATACTGCTCCTACTCGCCCTGAATTGGCTGTGACCTCAAGCCTCTGTCTTGCTTCAAGTCAAAGGTAAGTCTCTCTTCAGTGCTACAGATGACTGCACCAGCTCCCCAGGGAACCTCAGCAGCCAGGACGTAGCCCAGGTGAAGTGCCTCCCCAATCTTTGGGTCCAGCTTTCAGCCACGTTGTCCCAGCCTCTTTTCTGGTATGGAATTTAAAACTCACTACATCTCAGTTGCCTTGAGAGGGAGGTTTCCATTGTCCTCACCAGGGAGAGGGAGAGGATTTGGAGGAACTATGTGGAGGAATAATTCATCCAAACTCACCGAGTCTTCATTCTTGAAAGCAGATAGTAAAGACTGTGAAATTCAGAGCCAACTGGAAATGCCCACTTGGCCTCTACAACTCTAAAATAATAAAAACCCTCAGGGAAGACTGCCTTGCTCATTAGTTGCCTGACAAAACAGACTAACACGACAATTCCAGGAATTTGGATATTGAACTTACCAACCATCCACCCACCCCGGGGAGGCCAACCCACAATAGTGCCTGCAATCCAACTGGGTGATGCGGGTTAGACCAACTCTGGGAACATTTTCAATGCTTAAAAAAGAGCCCAAGGGGGACCAAACAGAGAATGTGGTAAAAGGGGCCATTGACTTTTTCTTTTTTTTTTTCCGTTCATCATCCTCTTGAAATAAAAATGGATTTTTTTCTTCCTTTCTTTCTTTTTTTTTTTTTTTTTAAGTGCAAGCTAGAGAATAAGCACTTCCATTCTTGCAACCCGGCCAGGTCTGGGATGAAAGCAAGTCCTTCTGAAAAAGGATGAAACAGCGGCACACAAACCATGTAGGGGAGAAAGGGTTGGAAGATGAAAACTCTCTTCGTGTCGTCAAAACAAAAACTTGATCAAAGCGCACACCTCCCAGTCTTGAAACACGGTATAGAGATTTCAGTGTGGAGAACAAAAGACTTGGGAAGGGAGAATGAAAACAAAGGAATGGCCAAGAGAAACAGAGAGAGGGGGTGAAACAATGACATTCTTCCAAGACCAGGAAGGAAATTCATCCCAGAAATAAAGGGCACAAAAGAAAGACAAGTGCAGAACAGAAATAGAAAGTGCCTGTGACACGTCGGGCCAGGAAGCCGGTATGACAATATTTTCTCATGGAACGACATTCTATTTCATCACCATATGCTCTAGGAAAACCCAATATGTTCCTGACAGACTTCTAACATTTTTTTCCCCACGATGGTTAAAGCTTTAGGGAACGTGTCAAAGATACTTAGCACCCACTGCATTTTTTTTTGAATATTACACATCAGTAATTCTCCGGCTCATGAATTTTAAGCATTCCACCGCGATTGTTTGCCAATCATTGTCCCCGGCCCTGGCCAACAGGAACGTGCACCAGCAGATCCCATTTGGGTTTTGTTCCAAGATGCTGCTGCATCTGCGAGTGGAAATCAGGTTCGCGGAAAGAAATTTTTTTCAAAGAAAACGTATGATCAGGATGGGATGCCGACAGGGCATGAATGATTTCAGAACCCTGGCCGCCGCTGTTTCCTTGGAGGGTCAGTCACCCCATCCCAGATGGGCTACTCCAGACTAAGTGACCCAAGTGAGAAGTAAACAGGGGGTTAAAAGGAGTCACTTGTGCCATGGGCTCCGCAGGCCTCCAGGGGGCCCTTCCGAGCTGGCTCTGCAGCCTCCTCCCTGCATCCACCTGCGTTTGCAAACCTCCAACCACCTGCGGGTCTCTAAGCGACTGCTCTGGCTTTGTCACCAATGACAAACCACACCTGGAAGAGTGCCCAGCACCCCAGATGGTGTTCTGTAGACACCGCATTAGGCGCTGTCCCCTTTGGCAGGGTGTGTCCCTATGAAACTGCGGTCATCTATTTCTCCCTTTCCCCTGGCTTCCTCCTTGCCTTCTTCTGTGTTCTTTCTGCCAGAGGCTCATTGATCCTCCCAGTCCCCTGTGATTGTCCATCACTCTCCTTTTCCTTCGGGGGCCCTCTCCGGTTACCACACTCTGTTAGCTCCCCAGGAACCCACTATCACAGCCTTTGAACCATCCTCCTCTTCCTCCCGTTTCCCAAAGCCAGACTCTCCCCGTCTCAGACCTACACCCTGCTAAAAATTTCTTAATAGCTTCCTGCTCCCAGCTGGGGTCCTCTCCAGTTCATTCCTTTGGTTCATACCTAGTGGATCTTTCTAAAAATGCTACTTGAAGGCTCTTCTGTTCAAGAACAAAAGCAAGCACTATTTACTGGATAAAGAACAAAGTCCCCATATGATAGCCCAGGGCCAAGGCAGGCGCTGGGCTCTTTGAAGCTGCACCTTCCCACCTTCTGCTGCTTCCCAAAACAAGCCCTTTAAGGTAGGTGGATTGTTCCACCCCCAGAAATGGTGCAATTGCCAGCAGCTCCCTGCCCTGCCTGTGGCACCTTCCTCATCTTTCCACCTATGGATCCTAGCTCCCAGGCAGGCCCGGCTAGCTTCTTGTGACACCCTTGCCTGGACACTCACTTGGGGCTTGGGCAAGTTCTGCTGTGTTTCACAGGCTGCAGATGGGTCTTTTATCTTCCCCAAATAGATGCCAGCTTTGCAAAGGAGCGACCTTCAGTGTAGCATTTATTAAGCACCTGCTGTGTGCTGAGTCCTTCTTGAAGTACCACAGAGCTAGAGCGATGTCTTGGTTAGGGCTGCTATAACAAACCGCCACGGACTGGGTAACTTCTAAACAACAGAGATTTATTTCTCACAGCCCTGGAAGCTGGGTCTCCACTATCAAGGTCAAGCTCTAGTGAGGATGCTCCTCTGAGTCACAGACTACCGCCTTCTCATTATATCCTCACCTGATGGGAAGGGGAGAGAATTCTCTGGGGGTCCCTTGGATGAGGG